TAGCCCTTGAATAGAGGGCCTTTTAAGAGCGAGCGAGCAGTGTGGAAGCACAAACAGATCATTACGGTCTGAGGAGAATGATGCTGTGGGGAGTTACCAGGGGATCTGGCCGACGCTCAACTCTCAAGGGAAGGGCGAGACAGATATACAATCAGACAGTTACTGGTACCATTGGAATTTGAAATCTTTGTTGCTGAAGATGGGGATGGAGCACTTATGGGAGTGTCCCAAGTGGCGAGACCGATATACAATTAGACAGTTACTGGTACCACTGGAATTAGAACTCTTTGCTTGCTGCTGAAGATGGGCACAGAGCACTTATGGGAGAGCTGTGATGTCGATTCTTAATTCAACATTGAACATTCAAATAGATGATACAGTAATTCAACTGAAGTGGGTGTTCTTGTCCATGTCCTCGCTACTGGCAAAATATAAATTCTTGTTGCTGCAAAGGGGTCAGCATCATTCCAGCTGCCTTTACTTCCAGCACATTTCCTTGTACTCATTACCAGCAGGGTTGACCTGGGAGTCAAAGACAGGTTTACAAATATGCCTTGAAGATGATCTGAGCCTATGGCCCTTGGGCTGGCAGGTAAATACTAGTCATTTGGCCACTGCGCCTCTCATTCATACTGTATCAGCATTCTGAGCTTTTGAAGTTCATTACTGCAGATATCACCCTCCTCCAATCATCTCTGTGAGTAGTCTTCTCTTGACACTTGGCGACTCCAAGTGTCTGTAGGTCTATTTGGACATTATCTTTCCATCATCTTCTTGGTCTGCATTGTGGTCTACAGCCATTTAACTACCTTGTTATCCAGTGTTTTATTTTTCTCTCTGTCATCTGCCATTTCTCTCTATATGCCCCAGGAATTTTAACATATCGGCCCTTATTATGCCAGTGATCAATAGTGATTGAAGCAGATTATGAATTTCATTTGTTGCATCTCACTCTACATTCCCCGCTTTTTGCGTCTTAGATGGATCCAAAAATTTGTTTTCGACTATTCTCAAAAAGTTGTAATAAGGCTTCACAGCTGAAGACCAAACAGGCACTAAAATGGGAAATGAGGGGATTCAAGAAGTGAGGACATGTAAAAGAAATCCTGAAGTAAAAAATAATGAGAGGCTAAAGGGGCTGGGCTGGATGTCATCTCTGACATCGAATGAATTACACAGGATAGAATGGAACGGAGGTACAGACTTTGAGTCCTATGTGACATATAAAAGCACAGCAGGACAAGGATGTTGATGATGATGATAGTGCCCCTGGTGTACACATACTGTCAACTTACAACACACACACACAAAAAAAACAGGAACATCAATCCATACATACATAGCAGCTTGAAAGCTGGCACCAAATCTGCCCATGGGAACTAAAGGGAGACCATCCTCTCCCACAGCCCAAGCTACACTGGAGTTAAGTAATCCTGACGTCATCAAAATCACCGGGTCAGGCTTAATACCTTCAAACGTGAAGCTGACACCTGTGAATTTTCAACTAATTAAAATGAAACTGAACAGGATAAGTAATTCATTCATATACATTTTTACAGATAACATGAACATTGTATTTAAAAAAAAAATTAATGAACAAAATTTACATATAAAATTTTACAATTTTGTTCTTTCAAATAACTTATGAACAAATTAACAAAGTGTAAAATGTTACAAATAATACAGACATAACTTATTAGCTCATTGACAAATTATGTAATTTAAAAGAGACATAACTTATGAGTAAATTTACAACTTTACGCTGTGTTACAAATAAGAGAGACATAATTTATGAGCAAATTTATAAATCTAATTGTTACAAATAAAAGGAGACATAACTTTGAGTAAACTTATCAGTGACAGTTCTAGAAATAAAACAGGAGAAACATAAGCAAATTTATATCATAGAAGAAACTACTATTTTTAGTTTTTTATTTCTGTTTGATAACAAAAACAGTGGTTGCATTGTAGTAATTTTTCTTATCAAGAAAGTGGACTGAGTTCAACAACCATGGTTGGTAGAGCTCCTTTTTTTTCTTTCAGAAAGAAAGGCTTTTGAATCAACTTGGCGTTGTAAAATGGGCACTAAATAATTTTCAGACAGATCTGGGAATTGTCTGGAAAGGAAAGAAAATGCAGAGAGAAAGCATTCTTTAATAAAAATTTTTGAATAATCTAAGAGTTAAAAAGATCGACTTCTTTGAGCTGGGTTTTATCCCATTTTGATCCCCAGGGATCTCTGCAAAAATTGAACTTGTGAAGTGAACATGGGTAGCCATGAAATGAACCCACAACCTTCAGAGCCTAAGCCTGAGGTATACTACCTGACCACAGAAGTGGCCAATGATGGAAAGTGAGTATTATATCAAATACCTCAGAACTGTGACACAATGCATAGCCTCTCCTTCCTGCTGCCTTTAGAGAACAGTCATAAGAGTAAAACTATCCACTCACTGATGGAAGGCAGGGGGAAACAATAGGAGTAAAACTATCCATTCTCTGAGGGAAGCCAGGAGGAAAGAATAGGAGTAAAACTATCCACTCACTGATGGAAGGCAGGGGGAGACAATAGAAGTAAAACTATCCAACCACAGAGGGAAGGCGGGAGAGACAACATAAGTAAAACTATGCGCTCACTCACTGAGGGAAGGCAGAAAGAGACAATATGAGTAAAACTATCCACTCACTAAGGGAAGGCAGGGGGAGACAATAGGAGTAAAACTATCCACTCACTGATGGAAGGCAGGGGGAGACAATAGGAGTAAAACTATCCACTCACTTATGGAAGGCAGGGGGAGACAATAGAAGTAAAACTATCCAACCACAGAGGGAAGGCGGGAGAGACAACATAAGTAAAACTATGCGCTCACTCAATGAGGGAAGGCAGAAAGAGACAATAGGAGTAAAACTATCCACTCACTAAGGAAGCGCAGGGGGAGATGAAAGGAGTAAAATCATCTATTCACTGGTGGAATGCAGGGGGAGACAATAGGAGTAAAACTATCCCCTCCCTGATGTAGGGCAGGGGGAGACAATAGGAGTAAAACTATCCCCTCCCTGATGTAAGGCAGGGGGAGACAATAGGAGTAAAACTATCCCCTCACTGATGTAAGGCAGGGGGAGACAATAGGAAAACTATCCCCTCACTGATGTAGGGCAGGGGGAGACAATAGGAGTAAAACTATCCCCTCACTGATGTAAGGCAGGGGGAGACAATAGAAGTCAAACTATCCCCTCCCTGATGTAGGGCAGGGGGAGACAATAGGAGTAAAACTATCCCCTCCCTGATGTAGGGCAGGGGGAGACAATAGGAGTAAAACTATCCCCTCACTGATGTAAGGCAGGGGGAGACAATAGAAGTAAAACTATCCCCTCCCTGATGTAGGGCAGGGGGAGACAATAGGAGTAAAACTATCCCCTCCCTGATATAGGGCAGGGGGAGACAATAGGAGTAAAACTATCCCCTCCCTGATGTAGGGCAGGGGGAGACAATACGAAAACTATCCCCTCACTTATAGAAGGCAGCGGGAAACAAACATTGTACCCATCCTTTTAAAATATGCTTGCATCCATCCCTTGTGGCTAAGTCGATGTGAACGCTTCGTAATGTCGGGATGCCAGGTTCAATCCCAGCCGTGGGCCATGATCCTTGCGTTGGTTTCGACAGTGGTATCAAGAAAGCCGACCGTCCAGAAAGCAATGGCAAACTACTGGACGTAAATTTTCCTAGATAAACCACACAACAGCCAGGGGCTGTTGGGGTTGGTTCTGCAACGTCCTGTAAAGGGTACACAAACTTTCCATTCCTTGTAAAACAGGCTCCTGAAAAGGATACCCCAGTGTCTTACACACCTCTTTGTTTTAACAAATTGGGAAATAAAGACAACATTTCATATCACACTTCTAAATCTGGGTGGAAAAGTTTGTGTCTACCACTTACCACTTCCGACTCCTTCATGATCAAATGCAATTTTCTCATAAGAGCTGAACTCAATATTCTCCAGCATTACACTCTGTGATGTGACAGAGGATTCTGGGATAGGTGCATATAGTTCTGCCAACCTCCGGCCACTTCCAAAACCTGAAGTCTCATAAATCTTTGAGAAAATTATGAGGACATATTAAAATTTAAAAAATAATATGATCAATTCACAGGTACTTCTCCTTCTTCAGCAATTAAAATTTGCTATGTATCTTTCCAATCTGGGTCATAAACAGGATGGTGAGCATGAGGTCACCAATATCCCACAGCTTACCTTGCAGCGTCACTCCTGTGGGCCATATTTCTTCTTTCTGACTGGCAGTCTGGACAATCCTTAGGACATATATATACGGAGTCTGTTTTGATTTAGGGCACCACAACCACATGCTGCACAGCAAGACCCACAGGTGTGTTCTGAGTGTTCAGAAGCACTAACTGGCACTTTCATAAGATAAGCAGAACCTAGTTAATGCAGAGTCCATGGGGTAATACAGCCCTTAAAGAAAGCTAAGAATATTATTACCATAACCTGTCAAGATTGTGGTAAGAGAAGACCAAGGAGGGTAAGAACTGGGGCTCTGAAAAACTGAGATACAAAATTGAATAATTTATGAACAAGACTAGAGATGCTGAGGACTTGGTGGTGTAACAGGAAACAATAGTGTAACAGGACATAATGGTGTAACAGGACATAATGGTACACCAGGGTATGATGGTGTAACAGGATATGATGGTGTACCAGGACATGATGGTGTACCAGGGCATGATGGTGTACCAGGACATGATGGTGTACCAGGACATGATGGTGTATCAGGACATGATGGTGTAACAGGACATGATGGTGTACCAGGGCATGATGGTGTACCAGGACATGATGGTGTACCAGGACATGATGGTGTACCAGGACATGATGGTGTACCAGGACATGATGGTGTACCAGGACATGATGGTGTACCAGGACATGATGGTGTAACAGGACATGATGGTGTACCAGGACATGATGGTGTACCAGGGCATGATGGTGTACCAGGGCATGATGGTGTACCAGGACATGATGGTGTACCAGGACATGATGGTGTACCAGGACATGATGGTGTACCAGGACATGATGGTGTACCAGGGCATGATGGTGTACCAGGGCATGATGGTGTACCAGGGCATGATGGTGTACCAGGACATGATGGTGTACCAGGGCATGATGGTGTACCAGGACATGATGGTGTACCAGGACATGATGGTGTACCAGGACATGATGGTGTACCAGGGCATGATGGTGTACCAGGACATGATGGTGTACCAGGACATGATGGTGTACCAGGACATGATGGTGTACCAGGACATGATGGTGTACCAGGACATGATGGTGTACCAGGGCATGATGGTGTACCAGGACATGATGGTGTACCAGGACATGATGGTGTACCAGGGCATGATGGTGTACCAGGGCATGATGGTGTACCAGGACATGATGGTGTACCAGGACATGATGGTGTAAAAGTACCAGATCTCATACACATTAGGAACTATCTACACTGTCTGCAGTCATCCTAGCAACAGGTTCCTAACTGGAGGGCCTGGCCAATGTATATCAGATTGATGCTTCTTTCAAAGTCAGAGTGCAGCTTCCTGAGAGGCAAGGAACCAAGGACTTCCTTTGAAGTCGAGGTACATCTGCCTGAGAGGTGAGGAACCAACAGTCTGCATACAACTAAGCCAGATCTGTAAGATGTGCACAAAAAACTCAACCTCTGAAACGAGACTAAAATCCAGAATTGGATCACAAACAAAACTGCTTATTTGAGTTTACAGTGAACAGACAGAAAAAAAGAAGAATCTGACAAGATACAGTGAAATATACTGTGCACTATAATGTTTGTATTCTCATGATTCAGATACTGTCTTGTCTTCAAGCACTACCAAGGCCATGTAGCTTTTACATTCAAATGTCACAGCAACTACGCCAGTTAGACACTTACTGATAAAAGTGATTTGAACAAAGAAGACACAAACAACAGACTGCACAATTTATTGCCTGACATATTCTGCTGTATCTGGTCAGATGCATACTATAGTAACAATTACACAAATGAAGCAAATAAGTGAATCATTTATAACAAAGTACAAATTCAGCAACAGTCAAACTCGACTGTCTGTTTTACCAGGGCAGCCTCAATGTCAGAATCATGTCTTTTTGTTTACAGAGTTCAGGATGGAGGTAACAAATCATGGCGGCTTCAGGAAATCTTAGCATTCTGCCATTGGATGACATGTGAGGGATTTGAAATGTGTTGTCTGTAGTTACAGTGTGTCCAGATTTTAACAGATGGAATGCTATTGCTGAGGGATAATCTTTACGGCAAGTGTTCTCATTCAGATTTGGTACATTTAATGCAGGCTTGACAAAATAATATGTAATAAATGTCAATGCACACAATCAAATATAAAAGAATAAATACACTGTACGCTTCTCACCTCATATTTTACACTCTCCGGCCACTCCACAATCTTCAGGTTGTAGATTTGGCCAAAGCTGACACTGAAGTCTTGTAGCAAGGGTCTAGAAAAAGTTATCCATTTTAAATTCATGCTGTTCACAAAAATAGTTTTAGCCTTCATATACTAGGTTGTGTAATCATGAAACGAGATAAACTAGTCCTTATTATGATGTCTTTACTTCGTAGAGAAGTCTCTTTTACCTAATCTGAACCCAGAATTGTTTTTGCTTTTCTTCCAGCCAGTATTTGCTCATAGTCCCTTAACATAGCCATGGTCAGCTACCGTTTGATCAGTCCATTTATATCTCATTGTGTTTTCTGTAGCGATAATAAATCCATTGCCGGCTTGCTAAGCCTGTCGCAACTTTGCCAGACATTATCACTCACAACAAACCATAAAAGAAAATTAGTAACCATGGAAATGAGATGTCTGAGAAGGGCTGTAGGAGTGACCATATGAGATAAGATCAGGAATGAGATCATAAAAGAAAAAGTTGGCACAGAACCAATTCTAAATTACATACAAAGGCAGCAAGTGAAATGGTTTGCCCACTTAGAGAGAATGCCTTGTGACACCATACCATACAAAGCATACATGAAAAGAGAAGAAGGTCGTAGAGCAAGAGGTAGACCAAGAACAAGATGGAAGGATAACATCAGAGAAGCTCTACAACAGCACGATGTGCCTATGGTCGAGGCAGCCAGAAGAGCTAGAGACAGAACCTTATATCTCCCTCGACACCCACAGCGGTAAAAGAGGAAGTGAAGAAGAAGAAGAAGAAGTATTTGCTCAAGGTGGCAACACATGTGTAAGGAATTCAACTGGCTTGAAAGCAGCTCTTGTGTTTACTTGAGGTATTGTAGATGATGATGATGTGGACTGAAGGCTATCTGGCCACAACATTCACTTGTGTGTGATATTGTGAAGCTGATAAGTTCAATGTTTTTGTTTGGTTTGATATACTTTCATGATATAGTAATGTGAAGGGCATAATACAAGTGAGGCTCCTCATTTCACATATAACACTGTATAACTACCAGAGGTGGCGCAGTATCTAGCATGCTTGCCTTCCAGCCCAGTATTTAAGGGTTCAAATTCCCATCAACAGATAATTTTTTTTTTTGGGGGGGGGGGGGGGGGGGGGCGGGGCTGATTTGGCCTCTTATATCTAGTACACTTTATAGTGGTCAATTTCCGAGATGAATCACTTTTGTTTTCATTATTCCACAGTTTCCACGGCATAGTGGCTTTGTACTCTGAAGACCAAGGGTTCATTTTACAGATGTATTGTTTAATGCATGAGTGAAGTTTTTACAGAGGTCCCGTAGGACTGTCACTGGAGTGATGGAGTCTGTGCTTTGTGTGATGCTCTTCGCGACAGCTAGTCATTCAGTGGAGAGAGACCGCACCATATTGGATAAACTGGTGCTATGAATGTTGATCCTCCTGACTTTTAATTTTTAATAAACAATTGGTAATTACTGTCTATCATTACCTCCTGTAATTACTACATTCGCAGTGTAGACAGAGGGATCTTTAAGCCTAAGGATTTAAGGATTAAATAATCTAAAAACTGTCACTACTGTCTGTTTTACCACTTTTTTAGGATGGTGTAGACAGGGGGTGGTGTAGACAGGAGGTGGTGTAGACAGGGGGTGGTGTAGACAGGGGTTGGTGTAGACAGGGGTTGGTGTAGACAGGGGGTGGTGTAGACAGGGGGTGGTGTAGACAGGGAGTGGTGTAAGGGGGTGGTGTAGACAGGGGGTGGCGTAGACAGGGGTGGCGTAGACAGAGGGTGGTGTAGACAGAGGGTGGTGTAGACAGGGGGTGGTGTAGACAGGGGGTGGTGTAGACAGGAAGTGGTGTAGACAGGGGGTGGTGTAGACAGGGAGTGGTGTAGACAGGGGGTGGTGTAGACAGGGAGTGGTGTAGACAGGGGGTGGTGTAGACAGGCGGTGGTGTAGACAGGGGGTGTTGTAGACAGGGGGTGGTGTAGATAGGGGGTGGTGTAGACAGGAAGTGGTGTAGACAGGCGGTGGTGTAGACAGGGGGTGGTGTAGACAGGGGGTGGTGTAGACAGGGGGACCCTGAGCCTGAGGATTTAGGGTCACCTGGTTAGTGCTGTCACCACAGACTGTGAAGGTTAGGATGTTTAATCCTGCCCTCAACAGAATAACTCCATTACCTTACCAGGGGTCGAATTAAGGTTACACGCATGAGAGTTCGATAAACTAAATAATCGTCCAGTGCAAAGTCCACCCAGGAGAAAAGTTTTCATGACTCTCCAACATGTTATATCCTGTGTCTTTACAGACCATTGAGGCAGGCTGTTTTCTGGCTGCATTTTCTCCAGGTTATGACGGTGTTTTGGGAAATGAGCAGGCAGATAGACTGGTCGGTTCTGCACCACTTGGTGGTGAACTGATATAGGACAAGCTGGATGTTGTGAGGGCCCTTTGGGAGCGAGTGAACAGTGACGAGGCACAAATAGATCCTTATGGTCTGAGAAGAGTGGCACTGCAAGGAGTTACAATGGAATCTGGCTGATGCTCGACACTCAGGGGAAAGGTGAGACGGATATACAATCAGACAGTTACTGGTACCATCAGAATTTTAACTCTTTTTAACTCTTTGTTGTTGAAGATGGGACAGAGCGCTTATGGGAGGGGGGGGGGAGGGGGGGGGGTGTCCCGATTGCTGTGATGTCAATTTTTAATTCAACATTCAACATTTTTGTTGCCGAAAACCTATATATAACACTATTACACCTTCTCACCTAATAACTGATTGTGACTTACAGCTTTCTGAACTTATGACTTGAAAAAAAAAAAAAAAAAGGAAATAAAGAGATAACTACACTGGTAGGGTCAAAAAGTTCCCAAAACTGATGCAACAGAATACATATTATGTATTTTTCACATTATGTACAATAATAGTACGTACACAGATTTAATCTGTGTGTTTTATGTACAACTGTTATAACCCGTTTGAATGAAAACAGTTATGTCGACGAATATAAATTCGACTTATGACCACTCTGACTTATGACTTGTTAGTCAAAACAGAGCTCGGTTGTGAGTCAAGGAGACCCTGTATTATGTCTTTTTTAACTGGTTTTTATCATTACCATCTTTCTAAATCTCCTGACTCTACAAGACATTCTAGGAGGTCTTCCAGTTGCAGAGGGTTGATTCTGCTGAGGTTCATAATCTGGCACTGCACCTGCCTGGTGAGCTCCACAAGGCAAGCACCAATATTTAAAAAATCTGAAGGTGTGTAGATCAATGACAGAGAATGGTAAAAATCCTTTTTGTGTGTGTTGGTTTTTTTTGATTTTGTAACTGATCTTTTTAGGCTCAGTATTTCTGACTTCATGATCTCTTTAAAGCTATAATAGGCTCATTCCCTCACCTTTATCCCATTGTTTTTTTTATTTTTTTTTATCCCATCCAGTTTACTGCTGGGGGTTGAAATCCCAACCTTCAAGTGAACTACTGGGGAGAATAAGGTCCACCATGTGAAGGAGAGGTGGGCTTGAGCAAGAGAGGCTAAGGGATATTAAGAGTCCCATACTGTGAATCAGTGATCCACGATGACCTCAGCTAACATCATCACACTCATACTTTTCCCTTCTGTAGATCTCTTAAAGATTGAACTTTTTGTTTTTACACTGGATTTTTTATTTTATATATAATTTTAAAATGTCATTTTTTTGGGGGGTTATTGTTGTAATTCTTGTCTTCATCTTGTGTAATTGGAATGAAGCGTGGCTGTACCGTGACTTGAACTGAGTCTTGGTTTTCGACTAACCTGGAATGAACCTTGAAATGCAACGGCACTTGAAATGTACCTTGGCTCACAACATATTGGCTTTCGCCACGATTCACTCTCTATGATTACTGCGACATAACTTGCTCTGTTCGAACGTCTAGGGTTGATAACACAAACACCACTCGGCTTCTTTGTACATACTATCAGTTTATTCCACATGCTTTAACA